ATGGTACATTTTCACAAAATCTTGATGTCCTCTTTCTGTGCTGACTTTTTAAAAAAAATGTATTTGAGAAGTTTAGTAGCATTATGGTTACTCAAACCAACCAGAATTTGAACATGATGATCAGAGAACCTGATGATCGGAGAATAGAGATCTCAAAAGGAACTTTATCGATTGAATGTTTTAGCAAGGATGCCAGAGAGCCACATCAATGTCAACATATAAATTACAAAACATTTTTAAATATTTAACCCAAGAAGACTACAATTAGATGTTTCTTATGTCCTGCAATCATTATATTATATTATTATTATATATTAGTATTGAATATGCAATTTCTCTGTATTTTATTTTTTTGTAGGAAGTTTTGTCTTGACATGGCAGGTGAGCTTACACTTTAATCACAATGAAAGGTATTTATTTTCTTGACCTTAGAAGTAAGAAAGGCTGTGTAGACAGGAATTGACACTGTGACTCTTGCACCCAGAAGTCATCGACCCTTGGCTCACCCCTTGGTAATATTATCCAGAACCTGGACGATTTAAGTTCCCGGCTAGAGTGGCCCCCCATATATCTGATCCACTCCCAAAACTAGAGACAGTGACTTCCAGTTGGGTTAGGATGGGGATCAGAATTGCCTGTCTGTGAGCTAAATGTCATTATGGAGGTCCCTGAACCAAACCATGTCTCTATTAATCTTTACTCACCTTGGTTCACATAAAATGTATTTATGTGAATATAGAAAGGAGGATTGCATAGATATCCTGAAAACATGAGGATCGGATAAATCATCAACTTGAAGTTTGGATTTGTGTAAAAGCACCAATGGTAGTTTAAATTTTCTTTGTGGTTCTTATAATGGTATCAATAACTTTGTGTGGTCTGGGAAGAGTAAAGGTGTGTAAGAAATATAGCAAATTCATGAATGTCAATTAAATTGGTAAATAAACGATGTTTGGAGGTGCTATTTCAAGGTTTTAAATAGATATTTACCTGAAAAACACATTAATCCCAATGCTCAATGCCGAACAGATGGGAGGGTGTCAATATCCAGAATTCCACCTGTGGCACCAAAAAAAGATTGATGGCTGATGGAAAAAAAAATTATGATTGATGGCTCTGGGACAGCAACCTAATATTGCCTTTATTCACAGATCAAGTGACAAGTGAGCAATAGAGGGGAAAATAGGAGGAGCAAAATGAATAAATGAAAAATATATATAGTGTTCAAGTAGAGATTGTAGCCATATTAGTCCAGTGATATAGATGCAAAAACAGATAAACATTTTATCTGTAATACCTTTTTTATGGGACTAACAGAATTTGACAAGATTTCGGGAGAACTTCACTTTCTTAAGTTTAAAGCATTTCTGACAGCAAGCAAGACGACACATAGAATTCAAAGTTGAGTTGTGATACAGGGGTTAAAGTGCAGATAAGACACAGGTTTGATAGAAAATAGACACCATTCTCACAGAGGGTCGTAAATATCTTGTGTGAAAATCACAGAGTGAGAGGAAGAGAGAGAAATAAAACAAGCAAACAGTGCAGAAGATGGTGCTAGAAGGGGAGAGTAAAAACAAAATAATTACTTATATTAAGAATACATAAATTCCCATCCAATAGTTACAGGATACGCCTATATCCAGCATACAGACACACACATACCCTCACACTCAGATCACATGAGTTTAAAAAAAGTTCTAGTTCAAAAGCCAAATAAGGAACAGTATGCACCCATCCATAAAAACCCGGGTGCAACCGAACCTGGGGCTAGCATCATGATACAAAAGGTAGTTTGCAGTCACTGAAGAGAGCAAATGATCCAGGCACTACCAAGGCTTAGATAGGCAAATTTATTGGAACTAAGTTGTCCAGCTTCAACATTTCGACCAAATCGGTCTTTTTCAAGCTTGAAAAAGACTGATTTGGTCAAAATGTTGCTGCTTTAGTTACTTGGAAAGCCTTAGTAGTACCTGGACCCTTTTATTCTTCAGTGATTAAAAAGTTCTCGTATCTTTTCAGGAGTCGGGGAGCAGCAGGGAGCTGTGGAAATCGAAGTACATGTGACAATGAGAAGACATCCGAAGATGAGAGTCTCCAATGAGATAAAAAGCCGCTATGACTCAAACAAGGATATTTGCTAAGATAAGTATATGGTCTAAAAAATAATTACTAAAATGTATGGTGGCCGGGCTGGGTGGAAATAATGTAACATTATGGGAACACTTTGTGACTGGCAAAATTCTGTATGATTGGCATGAACAATACGAGGGTTATCATGGCATACAGAACTTACATACTGCTACAAAATGCTGTATAGACAGGGCACAGATTGGCATATAGAAACAATTACACACAAAACAAAAGCCTTATTTTCTGTTTTGCTAAAACAAATGGTATGTTTTGTGATATCCAATGATATTTTAACTGACTTTCTTTTTTTCTGCCAAGGTCTCCTAATGTCAGCACTGCACATTTTTAGATGATTATTCTGATGATGAGAAAGAGCACAGAACTGAAGTGTCTGATGGGCAGAAGTCAAATGTCGATGTTCATGACACCAAACAATTCCTCTTCACAGACAACCTGGAGTCAAGGCAGCCATCAATGACTGCAGTAATGAGCATTTTTGTGTTTTTATAAGTTTCAGTTAATTGCATGGAGATGATCATTATTTTTTATGTAAATTGGTAGTAATAATAGCTCTAAACATTTATAAAAAAAACTCGTATGACTAATGAAACAAAATTCTTATTCATTTTTGTTTGAAAGACAGACTCACAGTAAATATTACAGTTTATCTCAAAGGGGACACCGTGTACCTGGACAACTTCTCTGTGTATTAAAATGCATGGTTAAATTACCTATAATCACTTGATACATCAATTCAAAATTCTTTCTCATAGTGATATTATGCTGTATGTGGGATGAATAATTTAGTTGAGTGTATTCAGTAAAGGTAATTATACATTTAACGTCAAATTGGAAAAGTCATCTGACATTCTTTTTTCACCTTGAAGGTTGATTACAATCTATTATTTTAAAATAATCAACATGTTCACAGCTACCCCTCAGCCATTAACATACATAATGTCATCATTCCTATACTTTTCTATAACACCCTTATCATTACAGGTTCAACAAAAAAGGGGACTATATGGTTTGTTAAAAAAAAAAAATAAGTTTAAGCGTTCCCAACCTTTCTTCAAAAGATTTATCAACATATTAAAAAAACTATTGGATACTACCTAACACTAGAAAGAAAATGATAAAAACGCAAATTACACTTTTCTACTAATATATCAATACTCAAAAATGTGGGGGGCAGAACTAGCACAACAAACACCACCCTGAGTTGATGATGTGGGGAGGCAACGTCAGCAAACCTACACTAACGATTCCTGGTTAATCAATTCACACAGATTAAGAAGAAATAAGCTCTGTCACCTTGGAAAATGATTACACAACAAAAGGACGTTATACCTCAATTTGAACATGCTTAATGAAACATACATCATATCTACATTCATTTGGAAATCAACAGGATTACACCATTATAAATAGAGTCAAACAGACAGGTCGGCTCTTTCCGAAATGGATTTATTTTGTTTGTTTTCTCTTTGTCTTTCTTTAATAATGTCACTGTCTGCCTCTCTGCTAATTGGATGGCATTTCACTTCCTTAAACTCAATTTATCCAAAACCAAACTAGCCTGTCTACCATGTCTATCTCCCTCCACGTTCATGGCATTACCATTAGCTGTACCTCACTTGCTCACTGCCTTGGTACTCTCTTTGATTCCAACCTTTCCTTCAAGCCTCACATCCAATCAATCATCAAATCCTGTCGATTCCATCTCAAAATTAACACTAGCAACTGCCCCTACCTAACACACGATGCGGCTAAAGTGCCCGTTCATGCTGTGACTGTCTCCTGCCATGACTACTGCAATTTGATTTCCCTGGTCTGGATACGTTAGGTCTAACCATTCACTCTATAAATTAATCTGGTTTTGTAATATTGTTTTTCATTCTACTGCATTAATCCTTCCTTTCTGCTATTATGCTTTTAGGATTCATTTCACCAACACATTATACAAATTGATAACTAATATAGATCCATAGAAAATGGCCATGAGAGGGTATGCCCAACTGCCACGTCAAGGTAGACCTCTTAAGTGGGTTCTAACTCTAACCCTTCACCTTGCTTCCCTGAGCTTCTGGCAAAGATATCTCTAAAGAGACAGAAAGGGGTATTTTTATATACACCCCTACATGCTTATTAACCCTTAATAGGGAACACATGGGATGGGCAGCAGCATTGTAACATAGCTGTGTGATACAAAGTTGAATACAAATATCAAGTCCTACGCTCAAACTCCCATTACTTCTGGGCAGCAACAATGACCATAGTACACTATGGTACACTATGGTCGTTGCTGCCGGCCAGGAGAAATGGGAGTTTGAACGCAGGACTTGTTTACTTCTGGGCGGCAGCAACGTCCATAGTACACATTTGTACTATGGTCGTTGCTGCCGCCCAGGGGTAATGGGAGTTTGAACGCAGGATTTGTTTTTTCGTATTAATATAGATCCATACAGCGTATTTATTTAGAACTAGTTGCCCAATACTCAGTGGTTATGAATAAGAAAAAACAAAAGTAATTTTTATTCGTACATGTCAACTGGTTATTGAGTTTTTTCCACGTAAGAATACATTTAAACGTATACAAATGTTTAACGGGAAGGATAATTCAAGATTTGATGTCATTTTTAAGTGTTACTCAAGTCAAAATTCGAATTAGGTTGGCCATATGAAATTCAAACCAGAATTCCTGAGCACGTTGATAATAAAAATACAATTGCACAATTAACATTTAAAAGATGATTCGGAAAATTGTAAAAGGAAACAAAATAGGAGTGTGGAATGTTTTAACAAGACACACCCATTTTCAAGGGAAAAAAAACCAATGATTAAATGCAAATTAGATTTCAATATGACACATATGATGCTCCTTTAGATATAAATACAGAACGTTAAGGCACATTGGAGAAAGGAAAAACATTACCTGATACCTTTGTGACTTACAGTCTACAGAACTCAAGCCAACAGAACCATGTCTGGAGTCAAGGGACAGAAGAAATGCCCAGACCCATGCCCAGAGCCTTGCCCACCACCATGCCCTCCACCACAGCAATGCCAGGATCGTAAGTAACATTTTTATTTGTAATCTGAAACATAATTTTACATTTAGAAAGTTATAAGGTCATATTCTTATAATTATGTTTATTTTTGTTTTCTGTTATAGCCTGTGACCCATGCCCTAAGCCAGTTCCACAATGCCAAGGTATGTAAAGTTGTGCTCCCATTCAATATTTCAGTTATATCGTTACTGTAAGGGTATATCATGTATTCTCAACACACAAAAGAAAAACGGAAATGCTTTAATGGTTGATACAACTAGATGTCTGTTCGTCCTCCGACTGTAAAGCGCCGCGGAATTTGTTGGCTCTATTTAAATAATAACATAATAATAATAATAATAATAATAATAAAAATAAAGTTATGTTGAAGAGTGACAAAGTTATGGATAGTATGAAGATCCTAACAGCAAGAACACAGAGGACAAAAACATTATCTAAATAACAAATATACTCTTAATATGAAGAAGAAACAATAATGATTAAAGTCTTTACCGCAAGGCAATGGACAGATTAGATGGGCCAATAAGTTTTTTTACGCTGCTAATTTTTTAAAAAAAATTTAAAAGTGTGTATTCACTAAGATACAAATTGTTTACAATTACCCAACTGATGATAATAGTTTCCTAGTTTGGGTTTCCACTGTTGTAAGCCTGGTTACAATACAAAGGTAAGAGTTTGTAATGATGATGTTATCAGTACAATAGATTCTGTTATCGTCCCCAGTAATAGGTTTTAATTAACAAACGTTATGTTTTCAGGAGAAAAAATGTTTGGTGAATACATGTTTTTTTTCTTTTATCTGTAAAAGAATCTAAATTTTAAAATACTTTTTGGAACATCCAATGTCTGTAAAGACAAAACAGTTTGTTTCGTGTTTTGTCCTAATTTTTATTCAGGCGCTAAAATCACCTAACTGCGCCCTTAATAAGAATTCTTATTTTTTGTATGTTTGCTGGAAAAAAAAACCTGTATGTTCACCTGTTTTACACATATTATATAGGGAGATTTGAAGATCTCGTAACTTTAGAATGGTTAATCACTTAATCATACTTCTTATCCTTTCAATTACATTGTGAAAATTTTACAAGGCATTGAGTAGAGATAATTAGAAATATGACTAACCCATGATAAACATTTTTTATTTTGTCTCACCATAATGTGTCCATTTTCTCTCTAGATCCCTGTAAACCGGCTCCACAGCAGTGTCAGCAGGATGTGAAATGTGTGAAGAAGTGTTAATAAGAAGGAACCGTGTTATGGAGAAAATGTCCATTGCTTGGACATTACTCTGATCATCTAAATAATTTTAACTTAATTGTGCTGTATGTGATTTCTATGTGAAAGCTTGTATCTTGTCGTAAAGATGAATTTTACAATTTGTCACTGAACCAATAAATCTGAATTAAAATGGAATCTGAATCAAACTGAATATTTGTGTTTTCCAGCAATTATTGTGTCTCTTCTGGTTCTGGGAAGAGAAGGATTTAGATATCACAGGGCTCTGCTCTAAGCAGGTTACTAGTATGGGCCCCACCTTTATTTTTCACATAGAAATCGTTAAATAGGCTAACGTAATCTATCAATCTATCTATCTATCATTATTATTATTGGTATTCATATAGAGGCAGCTTATTCTGCAGCGCTTTACAATAAAAGGGGAATATACAGGAACAATAGGTAGTTGAGGACCCTGCTCAAATGAGCTTACAGTCTAGAGCAGTGTTTCCCAACTCAGTCCTCAAGGCACACCTACCAGTCCAGGATTTAGGGATTACTCAGTTGTGTCTAAGGTGTTTTTACAAAGAAGAAAAAAAACACCTTAGACACAACTGGGTAATCCCTAAATCCTGGACTGGTAGGTGTGCCTTGACTGAGGACTGGGTTGGGAAACACTGGTCTAGAGGAGGTGGGTTATAAAAACACAATAGGAAGGGTATTGAGAGAGACAGCAAATAGACGGTGGGAAAGTAGCAGAGCTGGAGGTGAGAGTGGAGTGTGGCCCTATAGGAGAGAGCGAGAGGAAGGTTTGAGAGATAGAAGTTACTCTTGGAGGCCATAAGCATTCCTGAAAAGACAGGTTTTGAGGGACTTCTTAAAGGATTGACTAAAGTGAGAGTCTGACAGGGGCAGGCAAGCTGTTCCAAAGGAAAGGAGCTACCCGTGAAAATTCTTGCAGGTGTGGATTTGCAGTAAGGGTGCGAGCAGCAGACAGGGAAAGGTCACCAGTAGAGCGGAGAGACCGAGAGGGGGCATACCTATAAATCAGTGAAGAAATGTAAGAGGGGCTAGAGTTGGTTAGAGCTTTATAGGTAAGGGTTAGTATTTTAAATTGACACCTGTAGGGGACAGGAAGCCAGTGTAAGGAGCGACAGAGGGGTGAGGTGTGAGAGGAGCGACAGGAGAGAAAGATCAGCCTGGCACCAGCATTCACCACAGATTGTAGGGGGCAGAAGGTTTCTGGGGAGACTAATTAGAAGGGAATTACAGTAATCGATGCAAGAGATTATTAGAGCGTGAACAAGCTCCTTGGCAGCATCTTGCGTAAGAAATGGGCATATGCGGGCAATATTCTTAAGTTGGAATCGACAGGTTTTAACAACAGACCGGACATGAGGCACAAAGGTGAGGCCAGGATCAAATGTGACACCAAGACAGCAAGCTTGAAAGGATAGGATGAGGCAGGTACCATCAACCTGCAGGGAGAGTGAATGAGCAGGATCAGTGTTATGAGGAGGAAAAATAAGAAACTAAATTTTAGAGAGATTGAACTTCAGAAAGCAGGAGGACATCCAATCAGAGATAGAAGAAAGGCAACTGGTGACACATTGTAGGACTGCAGGGGAGAGGCCAGGGGAGGAGAGATCGGTATCGTCAGGGTACAGGTGGTAGTGCAATCCAAATGAATTAATGAGTTTGCCAAGAGAAGCAGTATAGAGAGAGAACAAAAGGTGAGTACGACAGTAGCATTCTGAAGGGGAGCAGGGACAACACTAAATGAAAGAGAGCAGTTTAGGATGTGTGTTAAGGATGGTACAAGACAAGGGGTGAGAGCTCTGATGAGGTGCTGGATCCTGTTCAGTAGCTGGAGGGAAGTCTTGGAGGGTAGGGGTGGTATGGTCCAAGTGAGGTTGAGATAGAGATATGAGAAGGGGGGAGAATTCATTGCTTGACTGTTTAATTTTGTCGGTAAAGTAGCATGCAAAGCTATCAGCTGAAAGATTAGTTTGTGGGGTGGCCACCGCAGGGCGAAGAAGAGTTAAAAGTACTAAAGAGATGCCTAGGATTGCAGGAGCATGAACTAATGAGAAAAGAAAAGTAAGACTGTTTAGCAAGGGTGAGGGCTGCACTGTATGAGCACAAGACAAATTTATAGTGTTGAAAGTCTGACAAGGTGCGAGACTTCAACAAGCAGCGTTCAGCTGAACAGGAGCATCTCTTCAGGTAGCGGTTGACTTAGTGTGCCACGGTTGGATGCTTGGATGCGCGCCCCCCTTGAGGAGCTTGCTTGGAGTGGGGCTGCAGCTTCTAGGGCAGAGGTGAGGGTAGCATTATATTAGGAGATAGCCAGAGAGGGACAGGAGAAGGCAGGGATGGATGAGAGTTTGGAATGGAGATCAGCTTAGAGTTGCTGGAGGTCAAGAGAATTGAGATTCCTCCTGAGTTGCGGGTGGTTAGGTTGAGAATATTGGGTGTGGGGGCACTCGAGAATGAATGATAGGAGGTGGTGGTTTGATAGAGGAAATAGAGTATTACATAGATTGGAGCATGTACTAAGCATGCATTTGCAAAAATAATATCTAGGGTATTGCCAGCTACATGTGCGGGAGAATTAGCCCATTGCGATAGCCCACATGAGGAGGTGATTGAAATACGTTTTGAGGCTATTGAGGACAAGGGTGGGTTAATGGGAATGTTGAAATCCCCTAGAATTAGGGGATGGGATATTGCTTGAGATGGAATAAGGAAACCAGGCAGAGAAATGGTCAAGGAAGAGACAAGGAGAACCTGGGGGCCGATAAATAACTGCAATGTTTACAATGTGTTTGAATAAGCTAATTGAGTCAATTTCAAAAGAGGAGGAAGAGAGGGAAGGGGTGGGTGGGTAGAGTTTTGAAGGAGCAGTGGGGTGAAAGCAGAAACCCTACACCGCCACCTTTACTGTCAGACTGTCTTGGGCTGTGCATAAACTGTAGACTACTACAGGATAATGAGGCAGGGGTAGCTGTGTCAGAAGGAGAGAGACAAGTTTCAGTTAAAGCAAGTAAGTTTAGGGGGCGTTAGATGAATAAGTCATGGATAGAAGTAGGTTTAGTTATGTTTTACACAAAGTGTGGATTCCAGAGGGTAGGATGGAAGGAGGGCTTAAAGGGAGAGTTACATGGGATGGATATAAGATTGGAGATGTTTATGGGTTGGACACAAGGTAGGTAGGTAGAGGCGGGACCAGGGTTTGGAGAGACATCGCCAGCTGCCAGGAGCAGAAGCATAGAAAGTAAGACAAGGTGGAAGTAAGATTTAAATGTTTTGGTTGAATGCTTGTATTTTTAGGTTTCAGAACGAGTTGGAGGAGAAAGGGTGGATAGGTATAAGTATAGTGTATGGGATGAACAGAGAGAGGAGGGAAGTAAACCAGGAGCAATGAAGATGGTGTCAGTAAGGACAGGTAAGATAGAGAGATTTTAGTAATGAGAGAAGTGAGGAGGAAACTGAAAAGTAGTAGAAAGAATATTGTTAAGTGGTGTTTTGTTATAGACGAGGAAGTTATAAGGGAAGCTAGGACCATAGGAGAGCATTGAGGGGTGAAGAGATAACTGGTCTGTGGCGTGGGAATGGAGGTATTAAAGCTAAGGAGAAGATGTTAGACATGGTTGGTGTGTTTGGAAGACCAGGTGATTTTAACTATAAATTATTATTATTATTATGATTATTATGATATTTATAGAGCGCCGTCAAATTCCACAGCGCTTTACAATGGGTTGACAAACAGAGAGGTAGTTGTAACCAGACAAGTTGGACACACAGGAACAGAGGGGTTGAGGGCCCTGCTCAATGAGCTTACATGCTAGAGGGAGTGGGGTAAAATGACACAAAAAGGTAAGGATAGTAGTAAATGTAGTGAGTACCATGGGTAGAGTGGGGTATGGGGCAGGGTAGGTGGGGAAAATCTTCCAGAGATGCTACCTCAGCATAAGGCTTTTCAGCTGCAAGACTTGCTGGCTGTGAGTCCTGAGAACAATCTTTCAGTTTGTTTGTTGGGGCTCTCTCTCTCTCTCTCTCTCTCTGGATAAATAGATAGACAGACAGACAGACAGATAGATAGATAGATAGATAGATAGATAGATAGATAGATAGATAGATAGATAAAGACTAGATAGATAGATAGATAGATTGATAGATATATAGATAGATAACGAATAGATAGATAGATAGATAGATAGATAGATAGATAGATAGATAGATAGATAGACTGGCAGACAGATGGATAGATAGATAGATAGTAGATAGTCAAGTTTATACATTGACGAACAGATGAGACATCCTGTTTAATAATACTTTAATACTAATTAAAAAATGTTTTCAGGAGCGATACACTAAGATTAGCTGTTATTTGACTAAATAGTACTTATTATTATGCATGGAAGGAACTGATTAAAATTGGATTCCTGAGATTTTTAACAGATTTTACAGTTGATGGATGATTAAAGATATACATAAAAAATGCAGTTACACAAGACACAGTAACACAATATAATCATTAGCAGAGTATAAGAGAATTAGATCATCAAAACACACCCATCCTCGAGGGAAAAACAAAATGATTAAATGCAAATTTGTCTCTAGGAGTAAAATATATGATGCTTCTGTAGGTGTTAATAGTTAAGATACCTTGGACAGAAGCGACACTTTAGTTACTGCATTCATCCTCAAGCAGCATTCCGACAAACATACAGCCCCACAAGCAGCCTCCCCACACAAACACAACCTCTCTTAGCTCTGGCCCACTCATCCTCCAACTACCCACCTAGTTAAATTCACCAATCAATCATGCCCCAAACTAGTCATAAAAATGCATGCAATCAAGCACTCCAAACTTTGTGTGTGAGTGTTTATATATATTTTGGGGTGCATTGAGGATACTGACCTTGGGGTAGCAAGGAGTGTAAATCTGGCCCTGACAGCTGCATCGCTGCTTTTCCCTACTCGTGGCCGCACCGCTACTACAATATACTCCCCTGCCTCTGCCACAAAATGAATGCCAGAATAGACTTAGGGAGCTGAAATTTGGGGTAGGGGCCAGTGGCATCATGTCCCAGTTGTTTGGCAATCACTCGATATTGTGCGTCATAGTCTACATGCTGCATAAAGCAGCTTACATGTTCTTTTAGCTCTCTGTCTGTTCTTAGGTTGTTTTAGCTAAAGTATTGTACT